TTTTCCACTCTCGCGTGCGACTGGGAAGCTTCGTTTGAACGGTGTAGATTATTTTTCAGTGAAGCACGGAGTGCCTCGATGGTTGTTCGGCTTGATGTGTCTCGCTGGTGTGCCGCAGTGGTGTCTGTTGTATCTTTTGGCCCCCTCGAGTGACGGGGAAGCTTTGTTTGAACGGTGTAGATTATTTTTGAGAGAAGCACTGAGTGCCTCGATAGTCGTTCGACTTAATGCGTTTCGCTAGTGTGCCATTGGTGACTGTTCGTCAGACTGTTTTCCATTTTTACTGGATCGAAGCAGCGATGGTAAGTGTTAAACGACAACAATCTGAATTATTTCACATTATCGGTTGTTGTATATTTTCTAGAAAAAAGCTAGAAAAAGGTGAAACCTCTCAATAGTTCCCCATCGCAAATTTTGCGATCTCGAGCACACCGAAAATCGCGGATCCCGAAACGCCGCTCACTATCGAATGCTCCGATACATTGCAGCACAAAACCTTGCGATCGTTTATCTTACTGAAAGAGAACCTTGTATTTTCAATGAGAAACTATCTACTTATTACATCGCAACGTGCAATCATTACTCGTACAGAATTCCACCTACGATATTCCTAAACACTAGTACAATTATTCCAACCAGCAGAATCCCTGTCACCGAACTCCGGGAACCAACGAAACGGTGGTTCTCTCTGAAACATTAAAACAAACAGGCGTCACGCGAGAAACGAAGAGTTCTCCGATAAACCTACTAAACAAGAATGACAATAAACGTCGTCCCGCTCCGCTTCCATCCTGTTTCACGGGAGCACCGGCTATTAGAACCGATCCAACAGTTTTGGCCGTTAGTGTACGTGCGCGTGTGAATGCGCGAGGGAGCGGCGGAATGCAAAAATTAATCGAGAGATGGTCCAATGAACCGTAAGCTCGATACAAATCGAAACACGTTGAGTGGAAATTGCCGGTCGAGGTTTTTCGCCGGACGGCCGGCTCGTTTGTTTAATCGCTTATTCGTACGATCGATTATCGGTCCACCGTGATTAATCATTATCGGTGTTATCGCGAGAAACGTTCGTCCTTTATCGGTGAAAACTCGAGCGGATTAGAGGCGAAGGGGGCGGGAGGAGGAACGCACCGCGCCGCGCCGCGCCGCGCCGGTTCGCTCGACTTCGTTCGCTTCCGAAAAATCGGCTATCGGTTTAACGAACAGCGCTTTTTTTTTAACGAGGACTAAGAGCGCCGATCGCCGAAAAACCCGGAAGCATTTTTCAGCCGGCAAGACCCGTCGATACTGACGAACTCGCAGCTTGGAAACGCGGCTAAATTAAATTCCGAAAATTTCAGCGCTCCGGGATGAAGTCGCGATGCCGTTAAGTCGAGTTCTGATTAATTTATATACTCCAATACGGATCCTAATCGTCTACGTTTAAAATTCCGAAAATTTCAACTCTCCAGGATGGACTCGCAACGCCGTTAAGTCGAATTTCGATTAATCTAAGTACTCTAATGCGAATCCTAATCGTCTGCGTTTAAACCTCCGATTTTCAAAAGCCGAACAAAAGAATACCAATTTTCCTAAAAACAACAGAACAAACTGTGCAATAAATGTCCATGAATCTACGTTAAAGAGCCACCGATCAACAAAACGCAGACAACCACCGTTCAACTTCCCTAAACTCTCACGGAATACCTCCGCAACCGCCGACACCGAAAACCCGCGAGCCCCGTAAAGATGGCGAATCCGAGCGTCGACGAAAGAGGTCACTCGCCGTTGACGCACGGCGCGCCAAGCGCTGCCAGCGAAAATGTTTGGAAACGGGGACGTCCGGCGAAGATATTCCGGAAAATTTCCGGACACCGGAAACTCTTAAATCAACCGGTCCTCGAAACTGGCCGCGAAACCGGGTCGGTTCGAACTTTCTCCGGCCGGAATCCGGGCAATTTCCCCCGCGCGTCGCGTAAATCACCGGGATCTCCCCGGCCCGTTCCAGCGGAATGTGTTTTGATAAATAAAAGGGCCGATCAAGGGACACGGGGAAGGAAAAAATATCGATGGCGGTGGATATCGACGGCGTAACTTGGGAATTATTTAACGGCGGTCGGGCCGCGATTTTGATTTGTGGCCGACCTACTCGGGCGGGGATCGGGATTTCGGAGTGGCAAGGTCTCGCCTGACAGAAAGTCGATGGTACGTCGCTGGAAATTAATGAGCCAATCGTGTGTAGCCGTGCCGTTTCAGGCCGGCCGGAATAATTAATGACCCCGTATTTGTAGTTCTTCGCCCGTCCGCCGGGCCCGTTGCACCCTTTCGTCACGGTTCTTCCGGAAAATTCGGTGAATTACCGGCGACTAGGTGCGACACGATCTCCGGGGGATGATGGAGCGACTGTTTGACACCTGCCGCGCCAGTTTTTCCCTCGTCGGAATTAATCTTCGCGCGTGCAGCCTCGCGCGTGCTCCTCTTTTCGCGCATCTTGCGGCGTGACGGATGTTTTTGGGGGACTCCTCGCGGCTAGAATTCGATTGATGCTTCGCAGTTGAAAGTTTAGACGTTCTAATGGAACGTTGACCGAGCATCTTGACGCGGCTTCGGATCTTTAACGGTATTTTCAGAACTGTTGTAAGATGCCTCTCGAAGTGTTCAGTTAACATTCTTTTCCGAGTTTGGTATATTCCGAATTGTATCGACGTTTTCAATAGGGGTTGTAGAATTGTCTATAGGAAATGAAGGGTTCATTGAGGGGAAATTATTAGACTGAGAATATTATGTTAGGTCGAAAGTCTTTTGACATTCTCAGGCGATTTTTCATTGAAACGTGTAAAGTATTCTTTGAAATGTCGCGTAAATGAATAGTTTGATGAATGATTATGGTGTGATTAATATTGAATAGACCAAAGAGTGTCGCGTATTTTATAGAAATTTTAAAGGGAGTTTCGCTTTGTACAGTGAAGAAACGAGTAAAATCCGTATTGTTTACTTCTGTACGACGATTACGCGCTTTTACCGTTAAAATTGTCCTGGACGACGACTGGAAACACGAACGCATTGTGCGAGGAGTTAAAGACGTGCTTCTCCTTTAATATCCGAGAGTAAAAAGATTCCAGATCCTTCTACCCGCTGGTTTTAATTTTCACTCGACCTCGGGGGCAGTTTCAAAAGAAACGTTAACGGTCCGTAATGCGTTAACACCGTTTAAATTCAATAGATTCTCCCGCTTCTGTGCCGGAAGAAAACTCCGCAGAATGTTGTACAACTTCTGTCGTTCTTTGTTTAATAAACGTCTCGTCCGGGATACTCTGTGTTCCGTTAGAAACAAAAGGGGAAAGAAACGTCGGTCGACCATTCTCGAGACTTTAACGCGTTGAATGCCATGGAAGTGACCTTTCACCGAATCAAATTATTGTAACTCGGTCAATTAAACGATCACTATTCGCAAATATTTCTATATCACAAATGTTGCTATCCAATGAATAATTTGATGTTACATAAAAACCTATACTCTCCGAAGCCTCCTAAACCTAATGAAAACCAAATAAAAAAATCCCCTTAACAGTCAGAACATTAATAAGCCACGTCCCAATCCTAATCAATCAAACTAACCACATTCCCCAAGCCCGATTCTCGCTGAAAACACCGTTCCCTAATCAAACCCTCCAGAAACAACGCAAGCACAAACAAACCTTCACCTCCCAATACCGACCCAAGCTCTAATCTCCGAAAAAAACAAAGCCGGAAACGTTACAAATGAAAAACAAAGCCTCCGCGTCAATTTCAGCGCATCCAAATATTAGAAAGAATTTCGAACGTCCACCGTTTAAACCTTCGAACCGTCGAATCGACCGAAATCGAATACTCCCGTGCGATTCCCTCGCGTCTCTCCTCGAAGCGGAGATCGTTGAAAAATCTGTGATCCGGCGGAATCGCGAACGGCAGAGGTTTCACGGTTGAGAAGACGCGCGTCGCCGGCGAGGTCGATTACTCGTGATCGGTGGCACACGGTCACCGACGCGTGTTCCGTGCGCGGGCGCAGCCCTTATTGTTCTTCGCGGCGGCCTGGGAGAGGCCTTAATTACGCCGCTCCCCTCGTACGTTTGATTTGCGTGGCCGCCGGCCAGGCGGCCGTTACGTTAATTACGCGCGGACAGGTACACGCTTTCGCCGGACACGTCAATGCTTCATTAAGCAGCCCGACCTCGCGTCGGACTCCGGCGCCGAACTTTGCTGGCCACCCTCTCCGTCGCCCTCGATTCATGACCGAGACGTTCGACCCTCGTCCCTCAACCTAGCCGACATTCCGAGCTGTTTCCGGGTGCGCCTCCGCGGAAGCTTAACCCTTTGCGCGACCATGTCGAGCGTGACTCGCGGCGTGATTCCTTGTTTTATTCGCAGCTGTGACTCTTTGTCGAGATATCTTTCAAATAAATTATATTGTTATGTTGTTTTCAATATTATTAAGAAGAATCGTCTACACTGCTTCCTGTAAATGATCATTTTTTCAAATGCATTTCCAATAATACGTTAATAATGCAGAGTTATAGAGGAAAGTACCGAACATATACTTAGAGTGATAACAATATATGATTAGAAGTTGTCGAGAAAAATACTCGATGGTAGATTTATCCGAAAGTATCTTTCCTGAGACATTTTTTTATTGCATTGTGCTGTTATACTATTGTTAATGGTACTGGTAGAAAGAATTGTTCACTCTGCCATTAACTCATTGTCTTTCGAGCCGCATTTCAAGTAAAGCTGTCCAGTCGATTTCAGACAAGTCATTCTCCGGACAAGACTGGATAACTTGACATGATTAAGAAGACAGATGTTTCTCTGAGAAATCATTCAATAATTTGATTGAACTACTCTCGTCGAGCTGTTTTGTTTCGCGACTCGCCAAGCGAATGTTACGGGCATTCGATGGAGGCGAAAAGCACCGCGGGAAAGTATCCCCCATCAATCCGTTTGAAGTCTCTTTGTCGCGATTCCCCTGGGTGTTCTTTGTAGGCGAAGAAATTTTTCGCTGAAAAATGCATCCCACTACTCCGGCGTCCATCGTGCAGCGTTGACGCCCGGCCATCTTCCATTTTTCAAACCGGACAAAGCAACGCGAGATCATCATTTCGAATCCGCAAAGAGCCGGCCGAATAGTTGGCGCCGGGGACTTCAAACGGCTTGAAAGAAGAAGACTCTCAGCGGTTGTCCTCGTGCCAGCGGACACGGCGTGAATGTCCGGCTGCGAAAACTTGTCTGACAAAAAGAATTGGTAATTTCGCGGCGGATACAATTTTTCTAGAACAGAGTGCGACCGAGCATTTAATACGATTGATGTCTAATCCCTATAAAAATGCTGAGAGTAGATTATTTTCAGTTTCTTTGGGTATTTGTTGTAGAATTCAAGTGAAACTATTTATTTTCAAGATCGTTCCGAATATACAGTGCTTATGTTAACGGTGCCGTCGAACGTATCGATAGAAAATGTTATATAACTTTAGTGGTTTCATAAATGATCTAAAATCTTAGATTACAGAGATTAGTTTTCATTTTTCTAGACGTTTCATTGCTTCGTGAAACGTTTGCTCGCGAAATGTTTCACTTGAAAACTTTCAAAATCGGTTCGATTACTCTTCGCGAGAAATTAAGCTCATCGAATATACTTCACGAGATGTAAATGGAAATCCACGTAGCTAAAGTACCATCGAAAAACGTTGACAAAATTTAATTCCCCGAGGACGCATGTCCCAGGCTCGGGAGAATATTGCGGATCCTTTCGATTCCGGGGAAACCTCGTTTCGCCTCGTGTCCGAAAAGTTATTCGTATCCCTCGATATTTCCCGGTTCAGCGTAGGGATCCGACAGAAATCTCAGCGGCTGGCTGCCGCCGCCGAGATTTCCTCCGAAATCGATTCGTCCTAGAACGGGAATCGCCCGAGTTTCGCCGGTGGTGTCCTCGATTTTGGTAGACGGGAATCTGGAGCATGTATAATTAAAAGGAAGAATGTATGGGATTGAAGTAGAAAGATTGGAGGTGCAGTGGAACCTCGTTTGTTGCGCGAAACTGGGCCCAAGATGCCAAGTCGAGGTTGCCTTCATCAATCCGCGTGTTTTATGCAACGACTGCCAGAACTTCTCGAACTCGTGGCGGAGATCATCAAAATCTAAGGAAGGTAGGTTTCAGGCGATGGTACACGCTGGATTGCAACAGGCGAGGTTCTGCTGTATTAATGAATACTTTACGTGGTATACGCGCTAGTTAAATTGGATTAGTATTGGATTGATCGAGGGTGGAGCGAATGACGATGGTGGTGAATATTGGTGAATGGATGTTGATGTTTAATACACTGCAATACAATACACTATAATAAAATACAGTAAAATACAATACACTGCAATACACTGTAATAAAATACACTACAGGAAAATAAAATAAAATGAATAGTACCATAAACATTAAAAAAGCAATGTTAAAATCTCGTAATCCAACAGTGCAGGCAGCCTACAGGCTGGCGCCGAGACCAGTCGAGCCCCAATAATTCACAGGCAAATTCTATGGTGGCCCGAAAACACGGGCCGAACAAAGACCACCCCCTGGAACGGACAAAGGGGTCACCGGGATTGACCCCGGCTGAAAGTTCCACCCACAGCCGCACCTCCCCTTTCTCGCTCCCTCCGGAGCCCGTCCGGATCGTGCGGTCTCCTTCTTTTCTCCGGCGCGAGCCGCCTTCTCCCGGTGTCCCTGTCCCGGACAGGTTCGAAGCTGCGATACGCGCAATTGCATCTCCTCCCTGTACTCCAGGCCGCCGCGGTTAAATGAATGCAGTCAACGGCGGTCTGTTTGGATTAAAGACTGGCCACCGAGACTAACGAGCCGCCGAGGGGATCCTTTGGTGGCCGCCGGCTCCCTTTGCGCGAGAAAAATATGGACAGCGGTATGATGCTGCCTGTCGCCGGCCTTTGTGCGGACTCTAGAGATCTTGGGGGATGCGTTCGGTTTCTGTGGGAATGGGAGTTTTTTATCGAACGGAAGGCACTCGCGAGGGGGTAATTGGATGAGGAGAGTCTGTGAAAGATGACACTCCGTTTTTTAGTGTTGAGTTAGAGCTGTTAGGGGATGCGTTTGGTTTTTGTGCGAGTAGAAGTTTGCTATTGAATGAAGGAAACTCGTGAGGAGGATGATTGGCTGAGGAGATTCTGCAAAAGGTGACAGTCTTTGTTTTAATATTGAAAATATGGATGGAATTTAGAGTTGGATTTAGAGCTAGAGACTTTGGAGGATAGAGGTATTCTCCAGCTTCCAAGCAACACCACATTTCGACGAGATGAAATGTTCATAATTGGAATACCAAGTCGCAAAGAAATGATTCGATGACTCAAACAGCAAGAGAGCAGCATACAGTTCCTTTTCCCTACCGTCTAAACAATTGATATACAATTCAGCTTGATCCACCAAAGGTCTCGCGCATCCCAAAGAATCCCATCGGAAGAGACTCAATTCTCACCTCGCCGGATCGCTTTGAAAAATCAATCGGCGAATGAAAGGCTCGCGATTAATCAAAAGAAAGGGAGCCCTCTCCACACACAATTAAAGATCTTCGGCATTCATCCCGAAACACTCGGCCGCCACTGTCATCGATGAAACATTACGCAAGAAGGATCTTCGCGCGGACAATAGCGATCCATTTGCATGAGCAACGAGCCAAAGAAGTCTCCCGGACAAATCCATTGTCTCCGTTCGCATATTAACAACCGAGTCCCCCGATGAAACAATAAATCTCCCCGGTTCCTGAATAAAACAATCGTGATCGACGCGAACTGAGTTCCCCGTTAAAACCGTCGTCCCCCTTTCAATTAACGTAATCCGAGGAATCGCCGCGGACGTAAAGTCCGTCGGCGCAGCGGCAACAAGTAAATACCGTTGGCCAGGGTAATTATTCACCTGGAGGAGCATTGGTCAACGACGGCGAAGGCAACGGTCCGCCGGTAGCTTCGGGAAACAGCGTCGTTGTCCATTCACGGCCGGCTTTGTCAAGAATTCGGGAATTTATTGAAGGCGTTCGTTCAGTTCGTTCGGTTCGTTCGGTTCGTTCGGTCGGTCGGTTAACGGTCCGATGGCCGTGTACAAGCCACGGTGGCCCCGTGTACTTTAAACCGCATGCAAATTAATGCCTACCCGACGGCGGCGGGCAGTAAAGTGCGGCTGAAGCGAGTTTAGGGAGCCGCACGTGTGTAACAGCGCGGCGAAACCTCTTCGCGCTAATTATGGATTCCGGAGCTTCGCTCCTGCGACCCTCCGTGCTCCTTTTTAATCGTTCCTTTCGATACCGAGCGCCGTTTCGTTCAGCTCTTTTACCGAGGACTAGTTTAGGCGAGACGCTTATTAGATTATTTCACCCTTACGTACTATTAACCCTTTGCACTCGAAAGGTTTTCACTTGAAATATTCTATACTTTCTAATTGGATATAGACGAGATTCTTTGAAATGAATTTATAAGAAATCATACATAAATTAGGTAACGAAACTTTCTTTTAATATTTCACGCACTGATGCAGTATACGAAGGTTAATGGTAAATATGAAAATTTATAATTTTGCTGGATCAAACCATCTGGCGACTGCGAGTGCCTCTGGAGTGCAAAGGGTTAATTCCTTGCTTTGTGATTTGTTTCGCTTAACGATGGCTGAGATTATTTCGGTATTTGTTTATTGGGAAAGAAGTCTAGGTATATTCTAGGTGTGTTTGATGTTGAGAGTAATCTTTGGTTATAGGAGAATTTGAATTTGAATTTGAATGGTTTAATGATACGGAACTAGTTTGTTGAAAGTGAGGATTTTAATGGAGAGATGAGTTTATCTTTGGTTGTAGTTGTTGGGAAGTGTACGATGCTGATATGATTGGAGGTATATGGAATTTGATATGTTTCCAAGCTCTTTATCGAGAATAATGTTTCGCGTGGTCGTAAGCGTTTAGTTCCCCGCAGGAAAATATGAATCTGCATAAACAGCCGCGAATTAGCAATGAAATGGCGAAGGAGATCGCCGCGTATACTTATCGCTCGCTCTCCCACCTCGCGATTCGTCGTGATTCATAGACCGTAACACGCTCAGCCGCCTTCCTTTCTCGCCGTCGTCGGGGATTACCGTAAAATGCTGCCACGGAGTAACGGGGATGAAAAAGGGCAAACCCATGAAACCATCGGGCTGAGACGAAAAATCTTCCTTGGATTTCTACATGGAATCTAACATTGTCTAATAACTAATCTACAACCTAATTAAATCTAAGGAAATATCTAACTAATTTAATCTACATCAAACCAAGAAAATAATGAATCTACCTAATCCAATTCTTGCTCGCATTCTTTCAGCCACTCGAGATTTTCTAAACGCAGTCACACTATTTTCCAATCATCCCGGCGCCGGTCCGTCGCAATACGACCTGGTCGCCCTTACGCACGCGCGACAAACCATTCATCCTGCGATACTTTAATCTACGCTAAATATTCTAGATAAAAGGCGTTTATTTTCCAGAGAACGTTCCCCCGGCCTTACATAGTTTGGTTATGGCGAAGGCTTTTCCAAATAATAATTTGATATATAAATATATCTTAAGTTAGCAAAATTATTTAGAATTGTGGCTATGTAAATGTTCTAGATACTACACTATGTTTTCCAAGAAACGAGGTGATTAATTTATTCGTTGCTGGTTTCCCGTTGCAGGTAGGACAAGATGGACGTCGAAGCAGCTCTCCTGGAGAACTCGCCGACACTCTCGACGATCTCGTCGGACTGCACGGACGCAACGTACTCCGGCCCGGGCTCGCCTTACTCCCCGGAATCGCCGATCATCGTCACGTCCTCGTATAAAAAGGCGAAGGATGACGAGGTCACGCCCCGGCCAACACCCAGACACCCACCGCCGCCCAGGAAGCCGAACTTCCGGATACGACCGCCCTATCTGATGATCTGCATCAGCATCGTCGAGGTGAGCCCGTCGAATCTATCCGCCGGGAATTATTCCGGGCACGAGAGGCTATTTATTTTTCATGCTTCTGTCGTGAGAAGAATCATCCGTATCCGGTATCCTCCGACCGACCGGGAAAACGAGAATCTACCGAGACACGGATTAACCCTTTGCGGGCGAACGTCGACGAAATGATGTTTCGGAGACCGAGTCGGCAACGAATGATTCGATTATTCGAACGGCGAGAGATCGCACGGACTTTCTGGTTTTTCTATTGTTTAAACAATTGGTGTATAATTTTGGTTGTATCGAAAGTTTTGTATATTTCAGAGAATCTTCGTCCGCGTAGGGTTAACACGTTCGTGGCCCAATCGAATCGAGTTACTATAGTTCATTCAGTTAAACGTTGATTATTTGAAACCATTTCTATAGCATAAATAATATTACATAATGCGGTGACATTCAGATCTAATGCAATTCAGTCGAATGATTTAATATTATACTTTTTCCATTTTGCACTGGTAACGAGAAATCTAGCTTTGTTAATTAGAATATTTAACCCTTAGCGCTCCAGATGGTCTCGCGATCTGTCAGCAACTACCAATTTTGATAGCAATCCTAGTAAAAATGTACAATGTTAGAACATTTCTTACATCGTTGAGACTCTATTTTCAAGATCATTCCCTACGTCCAACGGTCTCATAATCATTCCAACAAACTTGCTTTATTCATCGAATACCTTCTACCGAATGTAAAACCATCTTTTCTCTAGAAATCGTCCTCGACGAACGCGAAACCCGTAACTCCCGTGAAAAGAAAACACATTTCTGTTGAGAAGAACCACGCACGCTGCCCGGGAGCAGGGTGTTCGGAGCGAGGAACTCGAAAGATTTCCCATTAACCGAGCTAATACGTCGCGTAGGGAGTTCGGGCGGAGGCGGATGGGGTCTCTCTCAATTATACGCACGAGTTCACGGGCGAACGTCGTACCGGTATTTCGAGAGGAGACTCCGAATGGCCGGGGAATGAAACAAAGGGAAAAAACAGGGCGGAAACGAAGAAAAACGGGGGAGGGGGGTAGATAAGAAAGCAGACCGAGGAGAATTGAGTAGGGGACGGGAATAGGGTGGGCACGAGACCTTCTGATTAGATAGCGGCTTTTCTGTAATTATGACAAACACGCGACCGTTGGCTATCAAGTGGAATGCTAGTGAGAATTTCAGAACGATACTAGTTTATTTTCTGATACTGAATTGTTCGTTTTATTGCCGTGTAACGATCAAGATTCTCGCGGCGCTTAACGTGTTAAGGGATGAAATGAATTTTCACTTTTTTTAACTCCTCGCACTGGGAGTTGTATTTTTTCGATTTCTCGTCGACAGATTATTACATGATAATATAATGATAATAAAATTGATTCATTCGCGAAATAAGTAACGTTTCATTACAAATGAAATAAATCGTCGAAGATAATTGTTATTTGATTAGTAGAACGAAGCTTCCATCTATCATTAATTATAATAATCTTCATTAATCCATATTAACCAAACCATAAACTAAATTACTAACCTTACCAACTTTCTTCCCCATCCACGTTTCCATTCTCACAGCTCGATTCTACCCGTGCAATTTACATTTATTCAATTCAGTCGCCACGCCCGTTTTATCAAAGATGAAAGTTACCGAAACTCTTGATAATTGAATCGAACCCCCGAACACACTGTAAGAAAACAGTCAGTAGGTTAATTGTTCCGCTCGTTCGACATTTCAAATGTGGGCTGAATGGCGGACCGCGGCGGGGCGGAATTGCTCCAGGAAATTTCGATTTCGTGCGAAGATCCGCTGTTTAATAATAATTCCGGGGGTTATTCGAGCGTTTCCGGGAGCGAGTGGGAGCCGGGAACGAGCTCGCCGCTCGGGAGCACGCGAAGTTAAAGCCGCGAAGTAAAATCTACCCTTCTTTCCCGGCGTCTCGCGCGATAAAACAGAAGTTAACGCCGGCGAGGAGTTAATGAAACGACGGGATTCCGCGGACGGCGATCGTTACCCTCGCCGCGATTTCAAATTCCGCTTGGCTCGCGGATAGACGGGAACGGCGAGGACGTTTTTCCCCTGAATAGAATCCGTCGAAGTAGGAAAACTGTAGATCCTTTAACAGATTCGCTGCCAACATATTACAGAACGAAAATGAAACGAATCCTATACATATTGTTATTAGAAATTATAAGCTTTATGCTTAAATTATAAATTATAAATTATACTTGGAAACTCAATGACTCGTTTCAGTTTCATTTTTCTGATATTTTCTTTGAAAATCTATTGTAATTCATAAGTGTGAACGATGTCCGTAATTTCAGTTATTATTCCATCAATTACACGATCGACTATTGACAGAATACGCGATGCAAGTTTAATCCATTCTAATATCGAGTTAATTAAAGGTTGCCACCGCGAACGTGTCGATAACGCGACGATAAAACTCCTAACACGCGAAACGAAGTTCACAATCTATCCCCGGAAATTCCGCAAACATCCTCGATCCAATTATAACGGCCCATTAATTCCATGACGTTCATTCCGATCAGAATTCATCAGAATTTATGCAAGTTTCGCGCACTTCTCGCATAATGTTTCGCTTAACGCCGAGCGTTCCGCTTTGTCCCGCGCGGATCGTGGACGATTAAATCTTAACAAAAGTGCCATTCGAACGTACCGCGGAACCTATCGAACATCTGATTCGAAGCGCGTTTAATATTCTTCATTCGATCGGCCTAATTTCGGACCAGCGAGCTCTTAACGATACGCTCGGAGATTCCGCGAACGGGATATTTATTGGGCACGGTGCGCAACCTGTGTATTCGTTATTAAATTGCATTGAATGTTGCACAAAGTGGCGCAAATGTAACTCCATGACGATGAATTACGAACGGTTTCAATATTTTCATCATCTCGTTACTGTAATGTACGCTGATGAACAAATTATTAATTAAACCTTCCAAAAATTTCGGGATTCCACTGCTTAAACTCCATTCTCATATTCTAAACGAAACCCTGAGCTTCCTAATGGTTTCAATTTCAATTTAGTTGAACTCATTAGAATCGACAAAACTTACAATAGTTTGAACTATAATGCAATGGAATAAATTAATCATTCGCACGTTATTTTCAGCGTTGTTGGTTGCAAACTTATATTCAGCGATACAAATGAAAGTAACGTACATTGGTAGAATTCAACGAATTACAATCGAATGTTTATAATCTCCCAAAAAATGCTACCCTTCCAAAGGGTTAAATCATTAAATGAAAGAAAGCTCTTACCTTCCAAACAATTTCATCTCCATATTACACGAATACAAAAGATAAACTGTTTAAATAAAAGAGAAAAACTTGCCGTCCCATCTCCATATACACGAGTGCAAAGGGTTAAATCATTAAATAAAAGAAAGCTCTTACCTTTCAAACAATTCATATACACGACACACGAGTACAAAGGGTAAACTGTTTAAATAAAAGAAGAAACTCGCCGCTGCTCCAAATTCCACGGGCCGATAACGTTTTACCAGGCTTTCCCGCAGAAAAGCGAGGAGAATTTTCCGAACGGGTTCGCATTTCGAGATCGCGATCGTCGGGCGAGCCGGGCCGGTCTAATCGGCGCCTGTACGCGGGTCGTCCGGTTTTCGCGCGATGAAACGGACGATAATGGCGAGGGGGCGTGGGCGGGGGGGCTAATGAAACGCTGAGATAGCGGAAACGGCGATATCCGGTTACCGCGGCCTCTCCGCCGAAAAGTCGAGCTCCCGTCCGCGTAATAATCGGCCGCCGGGGTTCTTCTATGTAATATCGCGGGAGATAGGATAACGAACGTGATAAATCAAAAGTGCAAGGGGGGTGGGGAACGGCACCGTAAATATGGCTCGTTAGAGGGATCCCTAATAAATCACGAGGGAAAGTTTCCGCGCCGCCTCTGAGAATCGGCTTTGATTGCCCGCCATTTTTCGATGGTTAGCTACCATTGCAGCTGAACTTTTCGGACGACTCGACTTAACGCGGGGAATTAATCATTCTCGCGTGCGATTCGCTTGTTAACGCTGGAACTAGATTTAATGCGACTAATACGCAATCCCTGTGAGCATTGCAACTGTGGATTATATTCGGATTCTTATTTGTTTATAATGATACTGAAGCGAAGGTATTTACTTTTAAGAGGATTTCGAATATTTGATGATTTTAAGATGTTAATTGAGATGAAAGGATAGCCGAAAATTTCTAGTGTTAATATTCATGCTAGAAAGAATAAGATCTTAATACTTATGGGAAGTATAAGTTTTCATTTCAATCCTCGGAGTAATTAGTCTGTGTTACCTAGGTTTTATTGTTTCTGTAATTGCTGAGGTGTTGACAGAGATATTTTTAATACTAACGCTTTATCTAACCTTAGCCGAACTATTCCTTACAATAGAATAATTACCTCTACGTCAGCGATTAAAACATAGCCGAGAAATGCATAAAGATTTCGTTATACTTAAAAGCTGTGCGCTTAACAGTTCTAATTGAATCTTCGTCGATCGCGTTGCTGAAGGGTGGTTCGATATCCAGCGACCGGAAGCGAGATATCAAACGATTTTCGATCATCCTATAACGGTCCCGAGATTTCCGCCCGGGGCGTCGGATGAAGGGGTTCTCGGAGTTGTCGACGTTTTATCACGCGGGATCGCGAGCCGCTCCCGGATCAGCCGGCCCCGAAAGATAATAATTGCTTTGAAGTCCCGTGGATGGGGTTATATCCCGGCCGCGGCGCCGAAGAATGCGTCCAATCTCGAATGGCGGAACTTAAAATTGCGGGAAAATGTAACGGGGATAGTAAAAGGACAATGAACGTTCCTCGGGCTAATGAAACGTCGAGATACGCCCGGCGCCGCGCAACCACCGTCGACCACTCGGTATAGCTCGATCCTTCCATCCCTCGGTAATGATCGCCCCGCCGCGTCCATCTTTTTCCCCTTTAATGGAAACAATTCCGA